GAAAGAACCCTGAACGCCATGAATAGCTCTGGACCTTCAAAAGTCAAGACAAGCTGAATGCGTTCCAGAGATTACCTACCAGGTCGGAAAACCACAGCTTGGAAACTTTGGAAACCTCAAATTAGGAAGGACTGTAATGGAAGCTGAGCAGAGGGGCACATACTATGTCCGGATATCACGAATCCAGTGAGTGGGCAATGCTACTCGTCGTCGTTCTCAAAGGCAACGAAGTCCGCCTGCTGTGTGAACTGCTGTGGCTTCGGAGAAGTTCCAGTCTTCGGCATCATCCACTCATGAGCATCCTCGGCAGTATCCATATCATCCTCTGGAGCGTCCGAAGTAGCAGGGGTGTGTGATGAAGGAGAACGAACCGGGGAATTAGGCGGGGACTGGGCTGGAGAAGACAGACGAGTGGTCTTCCTCATGCGAGAGGCAAGACGAACATGTGGATAGTGATGCCTACCAGTGTAGGAACACTCTCCCGTATTGGCGAAAGTGGGACACTCATATGCATGCAACTCGGCACAGGTGTCTCCTTTCTGGCAGTAGCCCAAGCGTCCAAAAGCTTCGCAGTTCGGTGCGGATGGATTGACACGAACATGAGCAAAGCGGCAGTCTTCTTTGGTGCATCGGCCTGCCTGGAAATGCTGGCACGTAGGCGTATTGTGCGACGATGCAGTATGAGACAGTTGACAGGTGCTGTCGGGGCAAACACCCTTGAAGAGGACAGACTTGCATACGGTTTGTGTATCCGGATCATGACGAAAAGGACAACCCGGGATGGAACACCGACCTAGACAAAGGTTAGAGGCGAACAATGGGTGAGGAAAGGACCCGAAATGTCGTTTCGTCGAAATACCTGTGTGTGTAAAGTTGGCACAAAGTCTTGATGGTTCAGTCGGCTGGTGTTCTCTGGATGAGGACCTGGTGCTGTCCGCCGGTACCTGCGCTGGATCCTCGTTCTCTTTGGCCTCGCGTGATTCGGGGACAACATGTGTGCCATCGGAATCAACAGTGTAGCGAGTATACATAGGTGCATTGAGAGGGCGCGCATAGGGGTGGTAGGGTGTGTAGCCTCTGCCTCTGCCTACGGCACCTCGGCCTCTACCTGTACCATAGCCGCCGCGCTGGTTGTACTTGTTGTACGGAGGGTTGTAGGAAGGATTAGCGACCGGAGTGTAGACAGGATTGAAGACGGGGTTGTGGACGGGTCTGTAGGAAGGAATGGAGGGAGAAGTATAGTTGTGAAAGCCGTGGGAGGTGGTGCGGTAACCATAGCCAGTATAAGCGTTCGACTGAAGCCTCTCGCGCTCTTCCCTCTCTTGTTTCTCTCTCCTGGCGCGCGTAATGTAGCCTAGAAGTAGATCGTAAGTATCTTTCTGACCCCGGGACTCAGATTTCACGTACTGGTGAGCTCTGCCTGGGCGCGAATACGTTCCTCCTGTGAGGTTATCGCTTGGAGCTGTTCGGCCGTGTACGGAGGCGGACCGAGCGGCGCCATTTTAGCACTGGAGTATCAAGAAATCTATGACTTTCACTTGTTAGTAATGCGCACCCCTTCCACTGCAGCGACACTTTGAGGTTCCGGCGTTCGGCGGGCGGTTGTTGGTGAGGTTTTGCCAAAGCAGAGCGTGGGGCAACAAAGAATAATACAAGCGGTTACGCTGTTGCAGCTCTTGGCAGGGTCCACATCACGTGCTGTCTGTTTGCGCCCGTACGAGCCAGCCCTGGAGGGAACTGATGCAAAACTTCATCCCAATCACAGTCTTTCAGCATTTGTGCTCTTAGTTCAACATCATCTCCCTGCAATAAAGAAGAAGTCCCTTCAAGTGATGCAGTCACAGCGGAATGTTCAACGATCATGTTCTTCACCGTCCAGCTGGGCCACACCCAGAAGGCGTACGACCAAATTGCTCTACGATAGTGTCAAGCACTGCGCACACCTTCAAAGCGCGATCTCGCTGGTACAGCTTGGGGCAAATCACCTCCGTTATGGGGCTGATGAGGATTAATGGTTGACAAGAGTTTCATTTCCGACAAGTAATACAGTAGAAGCTAAATATGACACGCAGTCAGACACGCGACACCTCAATCGAAGTACCGGACCATAACCTTGATATCTCCTCGGCCCGCCTCCTTGAAGACTTCCAACACTGTCGTGTTCAAGTGTTCCTTGACAACCTCAATGTCACTACCAAACCAGATCAGTGTTACGTCTTTCAGACTGACAAGCTGACACAGGTCCCCCAGTTCCTCAATGAACCATGCCTTGAGTCCGGCCTCTGGAATCTTGCCATCCCTGTACACCCCGAAGGCGTCGACATATAGCCGTACATCGGATATGATGTCGGTTTGGGAAGGAGTGAAAGTCGTCAACAACAGCTCGATGACATGCTCTGCGTAGCCGACGAAAACGTTGAGGGCGAACGGGAAGAGATTGGCCTCGAAGTAGATCTGGCGGCAGGTCTCCAGTAGGTTCAATTGTGATCTTGGATATGCCCAGTGTGGCCACTCTCTGTGCTCACGGGTTGGGCGGACTGGATGGGAGAGGAAAGCGTATTTGTAGATTTTGTTGCGGAGTTCTGCCGGTAGACGAAGGAGGGGTGACTTTCGGTGATTGCGCTGTGAGCTGTGATTTGTTAGCTAGCAGTACAACAAATGCGTTATCCAGTACTCACATTGCTGCGAGACGCTCCATGAGCAGGACACTGCGATCGTAGTAGAGTACACGTTCGGGAACAGGCATAGCCTCGGTGGGCGAGTACATGGCGAATACAAAGCCCTGGGAGTTGAGTGCTGATAGTAAGATCAAGAAGGCTGCGTAATCACTTTGAGCATGTGCGAGGAAAGTGGGGCGGTAAACAAGAAGCACGGTGTGGAGGGAAGGTGCGAGCCATTGCAAAAAAGTGAGAGCTAAATGACGTGCCCGCGGAAGGGGCATGCGTGACGAAACGTGTCGGTGAGTATGCGTGAGTTATTCAGATGTGTCGACGCCAATGGAGATGTATTTGGTTACTGCCACGCTCACGATCTGGAAGGTTCAATTCACTCTCAACAGGGTCACCACAAGAGATCACGAATGAAAAACGCTTTCCGATGGTCTAGAAAAGCTTTTCTCGAGTTCTAACATGATCGTCCATATTATTCGTGTACTGCAGTCGAGTACATGGACTCCACTTGCTCGGAGGAACACACCGGAAGCGACTCCTCACTGGCTGTAACACAGCTCCCCAGAGACCTTAGATGCGAGCGCTCAGTAACAAGCACCTATCTCGGCTTCACATGTAGCATCTCATTTGGGAATGAGTTGACACGATCTCATTCCGATGTCATCGGCATCCTTAGCTGCAGTGACTGAGTTGCTGCACAGTCCCATCTCATCCTCACGCAATGGAAGCTCAAAAACATCGAAGGTAGGATTGAACAAGTTTGAAAGACCATGGAATTTACATATGACCAGAGTGTGAGTCCGAAACTACCGCTAGGGGCGGTGAGGTGACATGAAATCACAGTACAAACGGCCCAGTCCCTTATCTCGGCCTATCAGCTGTGTCGATGCCACAACATCGATACCCAAACCCAATATTGTTACTGTTCAACCAGCGAACGAGTTTTTATCTCTTTGCGGCGAGTTCTCTGCTGTCGCAATGCGTCTACTACCAACAGTCTGCAATCCTCCGCCCAACCGAATTTCCAGATCTGATTCCAGGGGTTGTCCTCGTATTGCGAGGGAGAGAGAAGAATCTGTTTCAGCTCCGGTAGCCTTGCAAGCCTCTCTAACGTCGATAACAAAGTATCATGTAAAACCAAACGGACGGGCGCGTATAGATTCTCGAATGAGTGTCCCGGTTCCGATACATCTATGGTGTAACTGAAGTGATAGTCATCGACCACAATATCTATAGTTGATATGGCATCGGCTTGATCCCAACTGAGAAGCCTTGTAATGCTTCGCAGTGCCCAATGACCACCCTTGAATGTATTCGAGGCGAAAGGAAGTAGCCTGGCCTCGGTATAGATTTGACAACAAGTCCCAAGTAGCTGTAGGTTCTGTCTAGGATAATGTGTGTGACCATCATTGCTGGTATTCTCGCCAATTGGGGCGCAAATCTCTATGTCGTCTTCTTGAAAGACGTACCGATAGACTGCGTTTCGAAGCTCTGGGGGAAGGCGGAGAAGGACGCATTGCTCTTGATTCTGAAGAGTGCTGTTAGAAGCTGTTAGCTGAAGTCCATACTAGAACTGATATGACCTACAGGGCAGCGAGTGCAGCGGTAACTTCAGGGCCATCGTTTTCCTGCTCCATTCGTTCGAGGGATTGTTGCCTTGACTGGATTCGTAACATCGTGTTAGAAGATTGAAGTTGAGTAGTCGAAACCGTCGAAGGGAATTGGGTTGAGCGACATTGAAAATCTAAATACCAGAACTAGAGGGTACGGATCAGGCAGTCGTAGTATGAGGCGATAATGGAGAATGAATCAGAAAAGTGCACAGACCTATAGGCCTCCGCAACCCGGAACGTATGAGTAAAACGTCACGACTTGGTGTAGTGCTTAATCCTGTACAACCACTTTCCTGTCAGATGTCTGTTTCGCATGCTCAAGATCTTTCGCTCATATTTCCTGTGTCTCTTTCTCCGTTACAGACCAGTTCTGTGTGTTCCACCACTTCCACCGGCTCACTCTATAGCAAGCTTGCGAAGTCCGCGCAGACTTTGTATTACTTGCAAAGTAAATATGCAGTGGCTAAACCATGATAATGAAACCGAGAGGCCTCGGACTCGATGAAACGTCTTTGCCAAATATCATGACAATAGTTTGTTACGTTAGTGTCAAGGAGGGAGGAGGGCACCAGTATCTCCAGGAATTGTAATATACATTTATTGGACAATATGATAGTACATATGTATAATTAGCTCCCGTAAGAGGATCTATGTTACACTGTCAAGTGGTGTGGAGATATAACCTTTTCTGGAGACTTAGTCGATACCGACGAATATCTTAATCTTTCTTCGAGATGGCCCTGAAGTCCCAGTTGTTCAGGTAACCTGATCCAATCTGTTTGCAGCATCAGCCTTTGGCAATTCACGAACGTCGAATGGTGATGGTACTTACGCAGAGGTATGTTGCGAAGCTGACCCAACCTAGGTAGGGTGCGAGCAGCCATCCGCAAACTGGGTCCACTTGTCCCCAGACATTGATAAGGTAGGCAAGAGTTCCACCGAGAGCGAGAATGTCAACTGAAGCGGGAATGGGACGACCGAGACCAAAGTAGAGAGGAGTCCACACGAGATTCAAGGCAAGCTGGATAGTGTAAAGAGTGGCTCCGTGCTGCACCTGGTTAGCTCGGATGATAGCAAATCGCGCATAGCATTCTCATACCTTCGCCAGAGCAACAGTATTGGGGTTAGCAGACGTCGCTCCAATGGTGTACGCACGATAGGCTGTGTAGCCCATGGTGGCATAGAGTGCTGTCCAGACTGGTCCGAATACATAACCGGGAGGATGTAGTGGAGGTTGCTTCAGCGTTCGATATGCTGTCTGAGACACACTTGCTGTTTTGGAATCAAAAAGCCATTCCGGTACGAATCTACCACTGACTTACGGCTGATGGCAAATCCTGTGGCCGTTCCACACAGAACAGGTAGCAGGATAGCCACTGCAGGGTTCTCGAAAGCAAAGCTGGGAAGCGTGAGGGAGGGGATGTAGCTCGTCATGATGGCGTTTAGTGATGAGATTCGTGTGTAACTGTCGATCAATGTCACATGCGCAATAGCAAAAGTCGCCAAAGAAAGAAGCGTCGTGTACCTGCACTCCGCATCTCGTGATATTTTCGGAGCGCCAATCACAGCCTCGGCCAACGCGTGGAAGGCCGGGTCCACTTTCCGCGTGGAACGCTAGCCCCGTCTCAGCCGTCGTTCGGGTCTCTCCAGCCCTCCGCGACGTACCTCACCCTTCTCTCTGCCATCGCCCTCTCCACCGGCATCGTTCTGCCCGGGAGTCACTTTAGCACATCGTGAGTGCACCTTCTCGTCCTTCAGCTGTCCCATTGTTCGTACCCCTTCTTCCTCTTGTACAGCTGTCTCGATAGCTCGGATAGCTTTCTCCCCGTGGCCCTGCGCCCAGCCTCCCTCCAGCTGCCTCTCTGACCTTATCTTCCTGCGGCGCTGCCCGTGTGCTCTCAATCGCACCAGGCGTGTCGGCTTCTTGTCACTTCTTACCTGCCTCTTCTTCCTCGTTACTAATCGCATTCCTTCTCCGTCACCTTGTCCCTGACTTGTTCCTCTCTGACCGAGCCATCATGGCAAACAGCTACCCGCGCCGATTGCCTGTCGAGCATCCACTCCCACCCAGCGCATACTCCCGGCGAGATTGCGCGTCAAAGCAACCGAAGACTACGCGCGCTGCCTCCAGGCTCGCTGCACTACACTCTCTCCGAGCCGCCTAAACACGACTGCCTGTCTCGATTTCGCGCCACATATTCATAACTATTCACCATCTTATCACGCGTGCATACCGCAGCGATGGACTCATACACGTATGTTGGTGCAGAACACGGTGCGCAAAGTACGATGCTGACGGCTCGCAGTGCCACGCGTGAGGACTCCAGGCCGCCCGCGGATTCGTACAGACGCCGCTCACCAGGTAAGCCAGATATCCTTTTTGAGACGTGACGGACTTTCCTTTTCATCGTCACGCGAAACTATGCCGCGTGTTTGTTCCGGGCCTCTCTCGCCAAGCGCTGTTAGCACAGACCGATTGCGCGTACTTTGGCGTCGCTGTATGACTCCTGGACACGACCGGCATCATTTCTGAACCTCATCTTGAATCGCTTCTGAAACATCAGACTGAGCTAACGTGCGTCACAAAGGCTCCGGAGACCGTAGAGCAGGCAGGCGACGATCGCGCTCGCCCCAGAACATCGACCGATACCAACCTGATCGCGCGCGCGACTACGACGGCCCCCGCCGAGATGGCAACCGGCGACGCTCCTCGCCTCCGCCCGTGCAGGCAGGCATCGATCGGTACGTGCCTGGTCAGGACAACTTCGCGCCGACCTTCACCACAAACCCGGTCCCGAACCCCATGCACCTCGAATACCAGGTCGGGTTCAACTACTTCGCAGAGTGGTGGCGTGTGGAGCAGCTCATGAAGGAGGAGAAGGAGCGCGCAAAGAATGGCGGACGCAAACCAGGTCTCAAAGGCGAGCGCGAGGCTCGAGAGGAACGGGGCAAGGAGCGCGAACAGATTCAGGCCGCGTATGACGAGTACAAGGAGAAGCTACAAGTCCAGATGGCGAAGACGTTTGTAGACAAGCATAAGAACGAAGAGTGGTTCAAGGAGCGCTACGACCCAGACTATGACTTGGCCTTTAAGGAGAAGCTCCGTCAATATCGCCACGGCATCTACGAGGAGTGGGAGAGACAGATTGACGAGGGTTACTTCGACGAGTTCACGCTCGAAGGCATCTACAAGAACGACTCGAATGGTGCCGGCGGGATTGTGGAAAAGGAAGAGGGCGAAACAACGGCTGCCAACGAAGTGCTGGGCGTGGGCGATCTGTTGCCTTGCAAAGGCGGCGAGATCCGCGATGAGACTGCGTTCCAGCCTACGCTACTCATCAAGACCATTGCGCCCACCGTCAACCGCGAAAAGGTCGAGGAGTTCTGCAAGGAGCACTTGGGAGAAGGCCCTGGCGGCTTCAAGTGGCTCAGTATGAGCGACCCTAACCCACTTAAGAAGTGCCACCGCATCGGTTGGGTCATTCTCAATCCAAACGATGAGCAGCCAATGGTCATCGACGACCGTGGTGATGGACGCGATGACGATGCCGAAGAAGGGGCTGTTGAGGATAAGCCTGAAGCTGCCCAAGGCCCACAGTCTACCGCTCACAAGGCTCTCGAAGCTCTCAACGGCAAGACCGTGATCGATGAAGAGCGTGGCAATTTCACCTGCCACGTCGGCATTCATGAACCTCCTGCCGCTCCTCGCAAGAAGGCACTTTGGGACCTCTTCTCTGCGCCTGAGAGAATCGAACGTGATCTAGAGCTTGCTGAACGACTCGTGAGGAAGCTCGACTCCGACCTCAAGGCGCAACACGAAGAAGAGTTCTCAAACGTCGACGGTGTCAGTAAGATCGAAGAACGTGTCGAGGCTCTGCGCTCGAAAGGCTGGCTTCAGCCCCCAGCCAATGCCCCGGTGCCGACCAAGAAAGCGCGGGATCCAGAAGACCTGGAGGAGGGTGAAGATGAAACCATGGAAGACGACGAGGGTGCTTTCGATGATGAAGTGGATGATGAAGAGCTGCTGGCCAAGAAGAAGAAGCTTGATCTACTCATCGAGTATCTCCGACGTGTCTACAACTTCTGCTTCTTCTGCGTCTTTGAGAGCGACTCGGTCCACGAGTTGATTCGCAAGTGCGCGGGAGGACATCTTCGCCGACCGCGCGCTAGTCTTACAACTGCGGCCAAGGCTACCGCGAGAGCTACGGCTACTGGAGACCTCTTTCCTTACAGGAAGCAAGAGTCTTCAGGTGATGCAGAGAATGGCGAGGGCGGTAGTCCCGTGCAAGAGAAGAAGCCGATGCGGTTGAGTACCAAGAACCAACAACAACTTCAACGAGCATTCAACTGGGTGAAGACGTATGAGGAAAAACTGCTACAGCTACTTGAGCCGGAGAATGTTGATATCCGCAAGCTCGGCGGCAAGCCTCTCGACGAAGCTATCGAGGATGAACTCTCACGTTATGTCAAGCAGGAGGATGAATCCAAGTGGCGTTGCAAGGTTCCGGAATGCACAAAGTTGTTCAAAGGCCAGCATTTCTGGCGGAAGCATACTGAAAAGCGTCATCCTGAATGGCTTGAGAAATTACACAAGGACGTAAGTGTGCACAGGGATGTTTGTAAGGTTACGTTTACTAATGCGAAACAGCTGCGACTGGTCAACAGCTATGTTGTCGACCCTGCGCATATTGCTCCATCCCGCAGTGATGCCAACAGTAATGGCCACTTCCCGATGGGCAATCATGTCCAGGCCACTGGAACGCCGCGGGGATTCAACTTGGCCAATATGAACATGGCAATGGCGAACAACGGTATGCAGAACGGCGTGCATTTGGGCGCTTTGTTCAATCCTGCTATGGGCGGTAACTGGGACCCCAATGCTGCCCACGATGACCGTGCCGGACCTATGCGACGAGGCGGCCATCGCTTCAACAACCGTACCGGACCTTACGATCGTCAACCTCGTGACGGCCGTGCTCGTCCCGCTGTTAACGGCGGCCGATTGACCCCTCCACCTCGTGGTAGCCGTCAAGGCCCTCAGCGATACGGTGAGGGCGGGCCTGGACCTGTACAGTCTGTGCAAGGCCGATCAATCAAGAGCTACGAAGACTTGGATGCGGTTGGCGGTGGTGGCAGTGGCGAGCTCAACTACTGAGCCTCGGATCTCCGAGTGCATTGGTGGTTATCATGTAAGATGTGAAGTGGGCTGGCGTTAGCGTGGGTAACTTGAATTCTTCTGCCGAAATGCCATGAAAGGCCTTGGCAGCAATTTGGGAACAGAACAGGCCGGCGTCCTGGGCTAATTATCGCCATAGACTGGCATTTTGATTTATTTACCCATCGGGCTTGTACGAGTACAATTGAGTAGATATCAACCTTAGTCAAATTGCAACTGAAAACCTTAATGTTCGCACACGATAGTACCCGGCGTGATGTTGTACTAGTTAGTCAATCAGATATCTTGGCCCGTGGCCAGAACGTGTTCGATGTCAGTTTTCCTTACCAGATATGACAGGCTGCGCCAAGGGGAGTCAGTCAGCCATGCATGACCTGGCGATGTGCGAGTGCGATCTTCGAGAGCAGAAGCGAGCCGAATGCGGTCCGATTTCAGGTACTTCCGAGTCTTAGGCACCGTTCCGAGGAGGGGTACTCTTGTCAGTTCAACCAGAACGCCTCGTATTCATTCCCAGGATACGCGACGCGTATTGTGCAGACGAGATGGGAAACGACGGGCGAACATGGCCAAGACATAGGATGCCGTTCCTTCCTTTGTTTGGCCTCGTGGGCCTCTGCGCTCCATACGTCAGATGAGCTAAGACATCGGGTTGCGTCACTCAGCCACAATCCTTTACGCGCCCGACTCTGCTTCAGTGCCGACAAGCATTGAATTGATCCACTTCGAGCAAGAACGGGCGGTGCAGACCCATCGTATCTCTTGTCCTTGGTGCCGTGCCCGCATCTCCGCAGTGCACCAGCCTCAGTTGCAGCCACAGCTACTCCGTGGTGCTAGTCAGGCGTCATACAACACGCGTCGACGGTCATCTGCAGGGACCCCAAAGTCTGCTTTTCGCTATTCCTTCACCTTATCTTCCTTCTTTCGGATCGCGGCTCCCTAGCCCGCGCGTTAACGCTGCTATTAATCCAACTATGCCCGCCAACCTCGACACCCCGCCTGCCATCCAGCTCAACGGTGCCACAGAGCCCACCACGATGAATCCTCAGCCCTCAGTACAGAACTTTGGCGAGCCCGCGCGGCCGGCGGTGCCCCAGCGCAATGACACGTCCTACTCCAAGTTCTCCACCATGTCGGTGCCGCCAGAGGGCTCCATATTGACAGGCAAACAAGAGCACTGTAAGCCGTACAATATCATCCATAGCCCGTGGCGAAGCTAAAGATGGCGCAGACCTCAAGCGCGAACTCATCTCCCAGCAAACAAAGTACGAAATCGCCGAACTCTCCTCTCCTACAGCGCTGCGACGTTTTGGCGCACCCTTTCGCTCAGATGCCGGCGAAGTTGCGCCGGAAGACTCAGAGCTGCCCCTCCTCCGCTACATATTCGTCAATCATGTCCGGAACTTTCCCTTCTTGGACAAGGCCAAAGAGAAGGAGTTCTGGCAGGACAAGTTACAAGTTGTACGTTGTATGAGGTCATACTGTGTAGAGAAGGAACTGACAAAGGTGCCGTTCTAGTTCCTAGAGTCATTCGCGAGCAAGGACATCTCATCCTCAGAAGACCGGCTGGAGGAAACGAAGAGGAGAAAGCTAG